CATAATTAGAACTCAAGGCTTGGATTTGTTCTTCAGCTCTTTCAGCTTGAGAAGTATGGAGTGCCTTCTTCCCTTTTGGTTCTCCAACTCCACGTGTTTGCAGACTTCATTGTATTCCAGTACTTTACTGTCTTGAGCTGTGCTTCGATATATTCTGTCCAGCTCTTATTTAATGAAGTCTTCCTTTTCTGAAGGAAGATTTAAAAACCTCTTAGTTTGTCATTCACTCCATAGACATTTTGTTTGATGTGTATTGCCACTGACCAATGTAATTATTTCAGAGGCCTGCTATTTAAGAAGTGGATGGCCAGTCTTGCTTCCTAGTCTGTCGTATTCTGGGAGCTCTGCTAAAACCTGTCCACCATGGGTGACCCTTCAGCATCACAGCAAGCCACAAGTTACTTCAGTACAGCAAACTGATAAACAAGTACTGTACTAATTAGAGCAATGTATTCCCCAGATAAAACAAACTGACAATTTAGTGTTGTACCTCTAATAGCAAGTCAGGCATACAAATACCATGTTACCAGATCCGGTTGAAGCCTGCATAGAGTGGCAGGATGAGCTTCTGGGAAGGGGTTGAAGTGTTCTGGCTGAGATTCATGGCTAACATGCTGGAGTAACATTCTTTGTGGGTTCAGATCTGTTCAGAGAGTCACAATGAGTTAAGACTTGATTTAACAGCACATAACAACAATGTAATTATTTTGTTACAATTTCCAGTCAGCTCCTTGGTTAATAGTAACATGTAAATGTTACACACTTTGCTCTCAGACCTCCTTAGTATTTATTTACTTATTCCAGGGGTCTAGCCTCACCATTGCACCAATAGGAAAAATCTTGAAAATTGAAGGGAAGATTGAAACTATCAATGAACTTGTCTTACTTGGAACCGTAACCAGACCCCTTGGTATGAGCAGTCTGGAGATCTGGAGATGAACTACACTGGGAAAGTAGTCAGGGACCTCTCCAAATTATTGAGGAGCAGTGGTGTCAGTTTGAGGACTAAGGTGTACCTGACTCCGGCTGTGGTCTTTTTAATCACTTGCTGTGCATCCGAGAGCTGGCCGTTGAGGAAGGGTGACAGAAGCATTGATGCTGTTGAGCTGTGGTGGTGAGGAGAGCACCACCATGGACAGCCAGGAGAGCACACAGAGCTCTCTTGGAGGAAGAGCAGGCAGAGTGCTCCTTGGGAGCACGGATGATAGAGCTTCATCTTCCATGCACTAGGCATGCTCTTGGGAAAGGCTGCTCTTGGAGGGAGACAGCATGCTGGGAAGGGTGGAGGGTTGGCGGGAGAGAGGAAGACCCTCAGCCTGGCGGATTGACATAGTGACTGCCTCGGTGGGCTCCGGTGTGTCAGGAAGTGTGAGGACGGCACCGGACGGGACAAGATTCAGATCTGCCGTGCACAGGGTCGCTGTGCGTTCTCGACTCGATGGCACTGAACAGCAACAGCGACTTGGATGTTGATCTGTATATACGCTATGTCATTTTTGACAGCTTCTGGTTTTCCTCAGTTTATGTTTTGTATGTGCCATGTTCCAAGTATGAGTGGATGGTTGTAGCTGATACATTTTGCATCATGCCGTGCCAGCCAGTGAAGGAATGAAAGCCCTAGTCTACCCAGGTCACGGAGGCCAGCTCTTGCCTGAGGAGGCAGCTTTTTCTGTTGTGTCCAGTTCATCCAGGTCACGGAGGCCAGCTCT